ATAAGATTTTACCTCATTGATATGTTTGTATGTTTTGATGAGATCAACACTTAATTTACGAAGAGGCGCCTCGATTGGATCGCGATAAGCGTTCATTGCTGGCATCATCATGTATATTATAGATATATTGATAATATTCCATAATTATAATAGCATTTCATTTTTATTTAACATAACATATTCTATATGAACAAAAAAAAAAAAGAAAAGAAAAGAATTATATATATATATGCATATAAAGTTTGTTTTGTTTTTTTTATTTTCAAAAAAAATTTTACATACCAAAAAAAAAATACAGATTTAAATCGTTAGTACTGCTTGATAAATACAATAGTTGAAGGAGAAAATTTTTTTTTTGTAAGTAAAATAGTAAAAGAAAAAAGAAGCAGGACAATATTAAGGAATTGAATGAAAATGATAAATAAAAATTGGTCAGCAACGACACAGATAAAAGAACGTCAAATCGATTGTGAATATATATATTTATATGACAATGTGGATTACAAATCTAGCTGATATGATCAATCCGTGTGATGATCTAAAGTAAAATAAATATATATTGTTTACGTATATATATAAAAAAAACTTATTAATATTTGACTTATTCATAGTTTATTTATCCCTGACTCATGATATTTTGAGCCGAAAGAGAAAAAAAATAGAAGGAAAAAAAAAACGATGCTAGCAGTAATAAACAAAGAACTTCATTTTGACTGGATCATGCGTTCTTCTAATGATCGCCATTCAACCGGATCATTTAATAGCCTCATTGATGGTATACATAAAAAAGTTAAAACAATATTGAGTGAAAATTTTTTTTTTAGAAATATTATTATATACACTCATACTAACTTAATATTTATAATCTTTTCTATAATCAAAATGATGATATATTTTAAAAATTTTTATTATATAAAATAAATATATGTTGACAGTTGAATGGTGACATCTTCAGGATATAATATAATATATCATTAAAGATAATTTAATTGAGTTTTCAATCATAGCTTGTTGAAATTATCGAAAGTATTCTTATTGTATTTACTTCAATGTAAACATAAAGTGATGGTTAATTATAATGTTATACATATTATTCAGTATGTGTAGGTGAAAATATATGTGTGTATATAGAGTATGAATGTATTTTTCAATAAACAGTATATTTCGTATATTAAAATTTCTATTCTAATCATTTTGAATATTTAAGATAGTAATTTTCGTTGATAGCATATAGTGAAAAAGTATTCAATTGAAAAGAATGAATGTAATCAACTATGTACTATGTTTTTTTTTCTTTTAATATTTTTATTGTTGTAATAAAAATGATTATACATGAAAAATTGCTTATAAAAATTCCGTTGTAATCTATTTTGTATTCTCAACTCATCAGATCTGGTTTTTACTAGATGATTTTGATTAGAAAAAAAAAAGGAAAAGAATATTATCGAAATAAACTAGATCAATATTTTAAAATCATATAATCAAATCAATTGTCGTTATTCGATAAAGTCTAATACATAAAAAGTTATGAAATAAATACTCTATAAGAAAAATATGAAAGGCAGTTCTATAACAAAAAAAAATAACGAAAGGAATTTTATACATGTATAAGCTGTTATTCTAAATATAGGAGAATAGACATATTTCTATTTAATTTATTTATTTCAGTGAAATTTTTTCACGTAAAATAATGTTTACGTATACTAATTGGAATGATATCTTCAAAACTCGAAATAATTTACATATCACAGTAATTATCTATGCTATTTTGACAAAGAATATTACAAAAAACAGTTCCCAATTAAATATACGTAGTTCGTGATATAGAACATAAACATAATGAATATAATCTGATAAATCAATGAACCACTAAATATGTATGTATTGCAATACAATATAATATAAAAATAAAAAAAAAACAAGTAAAACTTTTGTGACGTATATACACAAGAGAATATTATTTTTTTTTGGGTAAACATATTCAACGAGAGCAAATAATATAGAAAAATATTTTGATGATCTTTAGAATTTTCACTCAATATAAATGAAATTGAAGTCGATAATGATGTTGAATTAAGAGTAAAATTCGTTTTCTTTTTATTTGAGTAATCGATAATAATTATTTAAAAAGAATTCAACATAGATACACAATTAAATGAATGTTTTCACTAACATAATATTAAGTCGGTTAGAGTATTACTACTTATAATATTCAAAAAGAAAATAACGGAAGAACTTTGCAAAGTGATAAGTTGCTTGCGAGATAAATCTTAATTTATTTGATAGATTCTATTGAGACTAGACAAATGAATCTTAAGTTAAAACTTTGTACAAATAAAGTTCTTAATAGAACTAGTTCAATAACACATGATCATATATTTTAGTTTGTTTTATCTACAGAGAGCAATATTGAAAGTTCTTTTTTTTTTGCATAAAAAATCAAATTGTGTTCTTTTATTATATCTTAGGATAGAAGACACTAAATAATTCAATATTTTCACTTTGAAATAGTCTTGTAAAATATTTTAACTTAGGATCTAAAAGTCGATCTTGAACATAATCTGAAGCAGAAACGCAACATTTTGTTGAGAAGTCTATGACTCACAGAAGCAACATCCATGAATATAAACATTCTGTAGTCTTAATATAAGGTCTACCTAATAAATTAAGACTTATTTTAAAAGTAATTTAATACTTGTTGAGATTCTTTCCTACGAGAATATGCTAATGAGCTTCATATATCTCAATTTTATATAAGTAATTAATTTACGAAGAAATATATTGATTCAAATGTAATAGGAATGAAAATGATACTCTCAAAACGAAGTTGACAAAAAATTTTCTTGTTTTTTGGTTATTCTCTGTTATAACGAAAAATCTAAAGATAAATTTTCCAATATGAAACTTCTTTCAATTTATAGTAAAACTAATAGTCGTATACATGAAATCAATGTAATAATGATTGATTAATTCAGTAAACGAAGTATACGCTTGAAATATTCTGCTATATATGTTTTCAAAAATTTGAAGAATTTTTATTATTTGACAGAATAAGAAAAAAAATTGAAGACAAAACTTTTGTTAGAATGAATTCTAATATATTTGTAGTTTTCTTGATAATGTCTAATTAATTCTAAAATACTATTCTTATAATACAGATTTTACTCTTTCTTATGAGAGTTCTATAGTTAGAAGATTATTCTCGATCTTAAAATAAGAATTATAAAACAGCAAATAAAATCGAATAGTTTGATACATAGTTACAATTGAAAAGATTGCATGTATGAACAACCGAACTACTTTAAAATGAAGATTAGATTTTTTCTTATATTCATACTTGAGAAATTCTTCGACCATCGAATAAATTAACATAAAAATTTATTTATTGATTAATTTGTTTTTACTTTTCTTCTTGAACAATTGAATCAAATAAGGCTAATAATGATGTTGTCTTTGTAACATGTTGTTGATTATTTCGTTTATTTTGATTTATTTCTTGTATTTATTTTTTCTCTTAGGAACAATAGAAAAAGTACATGTACAACTTATTTCAATTATATTTCTATCTAATTTATCAAGTTTTTCTTTATAATTTAATCATTTGACCATGTTTTATTTGAATGTTTAAATTTAATTTTATATAAATCGAATAATAATGAATTTGTTGAATGATCTATAAAACTTTCAGTTAGATCATAATTAATTATTCGTTTTGGTAATGATGATGATGAATTGTCATGATAATTACAAGGTCATCCACCACTACGTCGTGCTCGTTGATGATCAGGTTTAAACTACAAAACGTAATAATATTATGTGATAAATAGATAATAGAAGACAATAAAATAAATACTGACCGAAAGAGCTTTATATTATGATTAGTTAAAATCGTAAAATGTTGAATTTGATTCACGAATGATTTTCTCATTTGGGAATTGTGAACGATAATCAAATGAATTTGTATGTGAAATAGTCGAGTGTTGAGAATGATGATTACATTAAGATAAATGTAAATTTCGATTTAGATCATATTGTAATCTTTTTAGATGATAAGAAAGATGATGAAACATCGAAGAAATATAAGAATTAAATATCTATTGAAATTTTTTATCAATCCATTTTATTATAAATTAGCACATAATAGAAAATAAAATCATTTTTCTTATGACATACTTAAATGATTATGCATGATTTGCAATGATTAAGAAAAGTACTTTTTCAATAAAAATTTATTAGTTCGACTTTATCCATAATCAAACGAACGAAAAGATCGATCTATATATATATAAATTATTGTCATCCATAGACATCTGGAGAAAAATTATTGAAACATAATGTCAAGATATTAACTAATATAACACATTAATAGAAATCTTTATTGATATGAATTAGATTGCCGTTGTGAAAAGTAGACAAAAAAAAATGTCCATTAATAATGTTAAGAACAAGCGTTGCCAAAAAAAAGTCTTTAATTTCTACTATTGATGTCATCATTGAAATAGTTCAAATATTTGAAATAAAATAGATAAAAAAATATTCTGAACTCTTTGAATACAAATGACAATACAATAATATCAGATGATTGATTGTCTTTTGTTTAAATGTTATGACACCGAAACTAAACATTTTAGCTAATATTTTTTTTGAAAAACATTTCGATACAGCATTGTTTATGAGTTTCTAATGCTGATATTTAGCATTTCAAATAACAGAAGTAACATACATATAACGCTTCATTAGTATTTGCTACGACTGTATTACAAAGACATATACGGAATGAATTTATCTCCTCATCATAGCAGACAATCCCGGAAGTTAATATGCATTATTTTTAGCTGTACACATCTGTCTTTTTCGCATGAGAAAATAAGAAAACCAACACAATAAAAACTAACAGACGGCAATTATCGTTAGATATTTTCCGAGTTGAATGTTCGAAATAACACGTTACATATAAATCAAAAACTCTGATAATAGTAAAAACTGTTGAATAAAACAATATGAACAAAATTATTTTTAGTTTACTTATTATTTATTTATTTTTATTCAAATTGATTATAACAAAATGTAGAAGTATGGACGACTTTTTTTTTCTGATTTTTTCAAATAGATCTTGGTTTTTCTTTTTATATTGATCTAAAGATGGCGAAATCGATAAACAAGTTAAGCGCAAGTCTCTTCTTTATAATGATATTGTTGCAACTAAAAATCAAGATCAACAAGAAAATATTGCAATCCTTGATAAACATTGTCACTTAGCTGATAGTAAATTTATAGAACGTTGTGACCTTAAAGATATAAGTTCTGGACGAAATTGTTCACCACCCGAACAATGTTTATTAATATCATCAAGTTATAATTCAAGTAAATAAAAGAAAAAAAAATTTGTATTCATTTGCAAAAAAAAGAATCTGTTTGGATTTATTTAGTTAAAAAACATTCATTGAAAGCAGTACTTGAACCAAAAGAAGATGCTAATCAATTTCTTCATACTTTTTCTAGAAGAAAACGAGTTTTTTATCTTCTTTCATAGATTTTGATGATGTTTAGAAAGAAAAATGTGTATTTGAACGATATTTTAAGAAATTATTTTTCTACAAAGATTATTCTGTATTAACATATCGATTATCATGATCCTGTTCACTAATCCATCAATGCATATATGATGGTTGAAATACCTAATGAAAACCTTATGTATATATAAATTTTTGACTTTATTTAATATCTTTATTATTTAAGTACTTTTTCAGACATTTAATTATTCAAATAATAATAATAATAAAGAGTTTATTATATAAAAATAGAATAATGTAAAATATTGTTCTTGACTGTTTCATTTGATATTTTGTGATGTTTTTAAAAGAGTTTCACTAATATTGATATTGATACTGAATTCAAACCAAATTAGCTCATTTATCTTCGTAGTTCTCTTGAGCTATCAGCATAATTTATCTGCGAATTGATTCAGAGCAAAAATGACTACTGTAGTCCTAAAAAAAACAATGTTGTGATGTCATAATCTTTTTTTTCCTGCTTACGAGAGGACTACATCAGCTATATTTTATTATTTGAACTCATATTGGTTTTACTAGGAGGTCTGGTTAAGAAACAGAAAAACTCTAACAAGTTCGTTTTCAATGACCTGTGAAGCTCAAGTATAGTCGTTTTACTGAATCTATGACTCAGATTTAGATATTTGCATAAAAGAAAAGCGAAATTTTCAATCTAACATTTTGTCCATCGATAGGTTCGATGACCCTTAGAATATCCTGAAAGCTGTAGTCTAAAAGAATGTTTTTTTTTTTTTTTTGTCGAGATATTGAGATTTCAAATAGTAGTCACTTACCACAGACGCTTGGTAAAAATCGGATTTATTTGAAAACATACTATGTTGCCGACGAAATATTCTAAACGTTATTCGCTCTTTCCTACAGGCAAAATCACAAGTCAAAACTCCATTATTCAAATTTTTCACAAATACCTCAACATACGTCGAAAATTTAGTAAAACAACCGTAACACAATTTAAAGATCATTGAGAACGAACTCTTTTATACTTGGTTTAGTCATACCGAGACCTTTTTGTGAACCCAATATGAATTCAAACGGTGAAGAATAGCTAGAGTAGTTCTCTCGTAAGTAACTAATCTCCATGCTTTTGTCATATCAATGATTTGTTGAATGATAACAAATAAGAAGATAATTTTCAAATAATAATTATTCTTCTACTCACTAAAATTTCTTCTCAAGATTTGTAAAAAAAAAAAAAAAAACAAAAAAAAAAAAGAAAAAGAGCAACACGTAATGTATCATGGAATCACGAGACAATATACAGGACAAAATCTTTTCGCAATGTACACTATACAAACAAGCGCAAAAAGAGACATACCTGTTGTTATCTGTTTGTTTAGACATTCATAAAAGAAAAACTTGAATGATAATAAAACTCTAACGATAACAAAAAAAAAACTGTGTATATATGAAAACTCAGGTAGTATCAACTGAACAAAAAAAAGAAAACATAACTCGAAGCAAAAGCAACAAAAAAAAAACAACAACAGATATGAGACAACGACTCATATATCGAAAGAAAAAAAAAGAGAGATAGCACGTGTCTCATCCATCAGAATAAGATTTCTTTTCAACAAATGCATTGAAAAATATTAGAAATAACTACTGAGAAAAACAAGTTAATTAAGTACACCTAATATGGAAGATTCTAATATGGTTTCATTTCTATTTGATTCGTTCAACGAATTTACTGCATCACGTATTGTATAATAAAGAACGTTCTTGGCCTATAAAATATCAAAATGAATTTTAAATTTTAATTTTAGCAAAAAAAAAACAAATACCAATCTAACCTGCAAGATATCAGCATGATTTGTATGTGTTTTAGATAATGATCGAAATTCATTTGCTGTTATTAAACATCGATCAAGATTTTCCGGTGAAACAAAATCTTCAGCAATTTTTATACATGAATGTAAATTTTTTACCTATAATATAAGATTTATGATTGAATTTATGAATAAAAATATTTCAATAAAAAGAAAAAAAAAAACATATTTTCGTTAATTACTTGATGTGGTGCACCACTTGGAATAAAAACTGCATCACCAAGAAATTGAAGTATTGAATATGCTTCTACATTACTTTCATCTTTTAATTTTTCTAAATCTTCTCGTTCTAAATAAGTTGTTTGATCATGTATAGAATCAGAACCAGCAGATTTACGTTGAGTCTAAGAAGAAAAAAGAAATATTAGAATAGATTAAATTAGACAAAGAAAAAAAAACAAACATACTCGACCAATATATTCACGAATTTTTTTTACATCATCAGAACGAAATAAATGCCAAAGTGCACCAGGTCTTTCTCCATTTCTTAATCGTTGTAATTGAGCTTGATCAATATTTGAATCAAGAATTTCTGCTTCTACTTCTGTAGTAAATAAAATAAATCATTTTTCTTAATTAGTTTTACGACATTTTCTATTTATTTCATATTTACGTCGAATTTCTTCTTCTTTATCAGATCCATCATCACCATGACCACCTATACCAACATAGACAAGAACATTTACCGCATCAGATACATCAATATGAAGATTAGTTGTTCCGGCTTGTTTTGCTTCTCGACTTGTAAGTTGGCCTAGAAGATTTTGAAAATAATATTCATACATAAAGAAAGAAGAGAAAAGCATAGTTATTCAGTAAATAGCCTAAAGCGCAAAAGATATGGTGCAACACTATTCACTCACTTTTCGGCTACTTAAAAACATCTGATCGAAGTCAGAAGCAGTGAGTTAAAATTAAAATTTTTCATTCTTTAAGAATATGTTTAGAATTTCTTTTTTTTTAGCATAAGATTGGTCAACTATTATCAGATTATTTCGAAAATTGCAAAATAGAGGTTATACAAAATAGTAATTTCATTAATTTTAGCATTTCAATTAAAACCTATCAAATTGAAAACACCGTATAGGTTTTAATCGTTCAGTTTTGTAGAGCAAAGTCTGTTCTACAAGGCATACGATTTTTTCTTATTTTATATTGCATCCCAGATTTTACAACTTTTGTATTTTGAAATGGGGTTTTTGAATCAGTCATTTTTTTTTTTGTACCAATGCTAATTTACATAGAAACTAATTCTTTAATAGAAACACATAGATTTTGAGTAATATGATTTTTTACTATTGCACTGACATCTCATACAGTATACAATTCAATGCTCGGAAATAACTGTGAGTTGTAGCTGCTGCAAAACGAAAAACAAAGACTACTCTGGAAACCGCTATTTGACTTTTAACAGACAAAGCATTGAACCTTCTTACAAAATTTACTTATCGTAGTTCAATTTTATTTCAAACAGAAAATTTGAAAATATATTCGAAAATAGCAAAAATAAATCTCATTCTAATTAACTGCTGCTGTCTGTAATCAGTTGTCTTCGATTGATCGAAAACGCATGAATATTTTGTCGCAAGACTTTCACTCTATAGGTTACTATAACAATATTAAAAATTTACTATAAGCAATATAAAGTTTTGGTCCAAGATCAGGTTTAACTAAACAAGTTGGTAATCGTTCAACAATATTATAAACTCCACCATGATAAGCAACACCATTATATATATACGATCGTCGAGTATAATCATCTGAATAAGATGTAAATGAAATCATGAATAAAAATAATTATATTCACTTACCAAACGGAATATTATTCATGAGATCATGTAAACGTTCTGGAAAAACAGATGCAAAATCTTTTTTTGTTGGCCAATCTTTTAATTTAAGTATACGTCGTCGTCCACCATTTTCATTATTTTTCAAACGAACTATTTCATGATTTATAAAAATTAATTTAGATTATATAGATTTAAATTAAATTTACCATTTAAACGTTCAAACCCTTCCCAAAAACGAATTAAAATTCCTTCATTAGTTTGAACTGGTGATAAAGTTTCACAATCCCATAATAATGGTGTTTCATGATGATCAATCATATGTAATTTAAATGACTTTGGATGCCAAAGTGTTTTCGATAAATTATGATGAACTTGTTTAACAATTACTGGACAACTAGCTGCCCAAACTTTTCGAAAAAACTTTTAAAGAAAAATCAAAATCAAAATAGAAAGATAAATTTTCTTTTTTAATCTTTCTACATACACGTTTTGCATTCTCACTCGTCCATTCATTAAAAACAGGTAAACGACCATTACAATAAAATTCAATATTTGGATCGTGATTACAATCAGCAGAAGACCAAATTATTTTTACATTGCGTATACCATGTAATCGATTCATTTTTAAAGTTTTTATAAACATTGATAAATTTTCATTTCTTGACGATGGATAAAATTTCATTGAATAATCAATTTTTAATTTCGATAAATAATTAATACAATCATTACGTAATTTAACTAAAACTAAACGTATAATTAGAGAATAAGGGGAAAAAAAAAGTTCTTTGTTTCTTTTTCTTTTTTTTTTTAACTTACTATCCCATGGAATAAATTCTGATAAACAGTATGTGTTAACATGAGTACAAATACGTTTAAATTCTAAATTAAAATAAAAAAAATCCCTAGACTTATCTTTATATGGAAATAATACTTTTTCGTTTTTCAGTATTTATTTGAGTTAATTCATTTGAACATTCAATACAAAGCATGTATCCACATTCTTTACACATATAATGATAATTAAAAAGTGTTGTTGAACATTGATCACAAACTTCTCTCCAACCAGCCATATATGGTTTCCAAATAATTGCTTCTTTTATGAATAATAAAGATTAATTATATATATTTTATATTAAGAAAAAATAAACAAATATTTAATTTTACTTTTGTTCTGTCTTGATCGTTGAGCTTCTTCGTGTAAAAACATTGAATAAAATAATTTACCTATTTGTTTAAATATATATTTTGCACTGATTATATTTAATGGTGGTTGTCCACCTAATTATATTTAAAAAAAGTTTTTATTTTATTTTATTTTTTGCATTAAAAAGATAATGTTTTATT